GGTTCTGCCTGTGGTTGTGTGGTGTGTCCCATTTTGACATGCTTGGGTCGTGTTGATCCTCTTTTTTTTTTTTTCATGGTGGTTTTCTTTCCACAATTTTGGCTGTGGCTCTTTGAGTCTTGACTCTCGGTCGGTCTCTCATCTTGTCTCCAGGTCTTCACCGTATCTAACCAGGTTTCCTTGGAAATACATAGTACTGTGTAGTAGTCGAGACTCTGCAGAATGCTGTAGAATGCAAGAGCTGCATTATGCCACGGACAAACCATTGGAGATAACCCCCCTTCACTTTCACTCGGCTTGCCGACCCGGGAGGGGGCCGATGCTTGGTCGGCACGTCGGGTACAACGTGCGGGAAGGGAGCTCAGCAAATGTAGACTTGTACCTCGCAGTGTCGCCAGCGCCATGTTTGGAGGCCACCTCGGGGGCACTGGGCGGATATGCCGTCCTCGGTAACGTTCCCACCGAAGCGTCAAGGTTCGGGGTAGCTCCAGGTGAGGGTCGCCTCGAAGGTGAGAGGTCGGTGTAGCCAACCGCCGCCGCCGCCGTCTATCCAGACTCTGGTATCCGTACCGCGCTAAGAAACAGGCGTCCTTCCAGCAAACCCAGCAAACTCAGCCAACCGCCTTTCCTGTCCTCTTCTCCTGTTGGTGAAGAGAGGGCGGTTGCCAAGTCGTCGCTTCGTCTTCTTGGAACCAACGGCAGCTCATCATTTGCCGTTTTCTCTGTCTTCTTGTCCCGGGCCATCCCCTTGGAGCTCCATTACTCCGCAGCGTATCATTCAGAGCCAACCCCCCTCGCCAGTCCCCTGCACAATATCAAAGAGCCGCTGTTCCTTCTTTTTACCCTTGGCCTTCCTCTTTCTCGCTCTCTCTCGCCCTTGTGCTCCCGAGGCTCAGCTCTGATAAGTTTTCCCATTGCAGCATCAGATAAAAGCCCGTCAATTTACGGATAGACAAGGGCACAAAATAAAAAAGGCAGCCAGCCAGGGGGGCCCGCATTACCGGACGGCCAACGAGGACCCAAGAGCCAGACGTCCGGGTTACGTTTCACCGCATTTCGCTTCGAACGCGTGATCTTCGGCTAAGACCAGTCCATCTTCTGTCTTCTTCTACAGTGCGTGTGTGCGCATCTGCTCGTTCTGGTTCTCGTCGCTATCGTCGCTATATTGCAGATGTGACAAGCCACCGTCAATGTTCCCACACCGAGCAGAAAACTACTCTCCCCCCTCCCCATCCATCCTCTGATGGACAAATATTGGTTCGGACCCGGGAGCAGGGAACCACCCTTACAGAGGTCAGGTATCATTTTTCTGCTTGGGCGCCCAGTTAGCCCGGCCGTTGGAACCAGCCGCGGCTGGAATAAACGGGGTTTCGCAGATCAGTTCGTTAGGCACGCTGAATGAAGTACTGTACACCACAGAACAAAACAGAGGGAAAAGGCCGCCTTTCTACGAGGTGGTTCCTGGACGTCTTTCCGCACTGACAATGTTTGTCAGGTGAGAAGAACTGAAGATCGGCATCCAGACCGGCGGTCTATTTCCCATTCTCGGGGTCCCCAATTCTTCCTGGTGCTGCGTCTGGATACAACCTCACCCATCACCAAATCCGGCACTGGATATTGTCCATCCTCCTCGCTGGGACCCTTACCCTGAACACTGCACCAAAGTCCCGAACCAATTGAGCGGGAGCCATAACGCCAATATTGCGCTGTTTTTTTCCTGTGTCTTGTTTGCTCACTGATATTCCCGCGCCCGCTTCTTGATTGGTCAATTGATACAGTCCGGTGAAGCAAACGTACAGATACAAGTTCCCTTCCCCACGTCTTGACAACGCCCAATCCGGAAGGTGCTCTGCGCTCGAGTCGCCAACCTCGTTCCAAGTACGGGCAACGCAACCACCACGCTCGCACTCTCTGTCTGACTTCTTCTGAGAACCTCGGGCGCCCGCCTGGGGGGTTCATGTACCCAGCAACATGTGGGTGGGAGAGAGGTTGTCTCTCTCTCTGTGTCTCTTTTTTTTCTCAAATCGAAAGAGAAACTCGTAGGGATTGCGGTGCGAACGAGTCAGGACCCTTGTCGGAGCAGGCGCGGCTTTTTGTGGGCGTGAAAGGCGCGACTTGCGTTAGGGACGACGGGGGAGAGAGAGAGGGTTGAGTGGCCTTTTTTGCCTGCCCAGAGCGAGGGATTGGTTCTGGTTTGGCCCGGCGTTCAGACGGAGGAATCCTCGAGGGCAAGGGAGATACGGCATGCCACACCGGGGGTTCTGGCCTCTTCGTTCCGGGAGATGCTTGGCTTACGCGGATCTCGGACGGGAGGACTTCGTCGATGGACGACCGTCGTCTTGGTTGGAGGGGATGACGGGGGTTGGTGGTCTGGCAGTTGGGTACTTTGGCGGGTTGGCGAGGATTTCGGATTGGACTCCGGTGACGAGATCGCGTTGCTCGTACCGGGCTCTTTCACGGTGAGCTCTCCCCTACCTCTTCTCTACTTTTCCTCGGTATTCGTGTTGCCAAGTCGAGGGATTCATGGAGAAGAAGGGGGGGAAAAGGGGTCTTGCTTTGACGATCCTTCAATCCCGCCCCAGGTTTCTGGACCGCTCGCATGTCGGTAACGACCGAACCCTTGTTACTGTTCAGAAGCCGAGGCGAAACTGCCGCTGGGAGGGAGAAACCCCTAAGAGTCAAAATCTTGTGACAGGTTTTCTATCATATCTCGATTGCGCGGTCCACGAAGAATAGTCGGGACGCTCTTAATTTACAGTGCAGCGAACTAAGAAATCCCCAGAGAATAGCGAAAGGGGCGGCGCCGCGGGAGGTCGGGAGCACAGAGGACCGGCCCTTGTCCTTTTTGTATGATCCTCCTCCGAAGAGACCAATCGCCCAGGGGTTTGGCATGCTAGTTTGAACTCAAATAATCCCAACCGGCCATCGGGGTTTCTAGCTGTTTTCCCTCTGGTTGCTGCTAGCTTTAGTGTGTCTCTATTGAACAAGCAGCAGCTTAGCAGCTTATGGTGGTAATCAATCAGTCAAGCCAGCGTATATAGTTGCCTTTTACGTGTGAAATGTCCCGACCATCGCTTCACCGAGAGGGCGGTCGTGCCCATTGGCGATCATCCCGCGTGGGGGAGCCGGGGGATGGGGCGCCTAGTGTGTTTCGCGAGGACTGCTTCATGCGTTAAGGACGTGGTGAACTATCTTAGAGAAAGGTACCAGAGATAGAGAGCAGCGTGGGTAGGTGGGAGGGGGTCGACCACGGGCCGGTTGAGGCCGCCCGGGAAGGGTTTCTGGGTTATGTGACTGCTTAAGCGGGCGAGCCCGACGCTGCGGGTGGGATGCGTCCGTCGCTGCTGAAGAAGATTGCCTTGTTGAGAAGGTGTGATGGAGCGCGAGGTTCACCGGTCGTTTGGACGGCCCCACGCCGGAGAAGGTAGTGCGAGGCGGCGGGAAGGCCGTTGCATACTCGGTCAAAGGTCCACTGTCTCACCGCCCACGGGGTAAGGCGTGACGGCTGGGCGTGACGGGGCGCAGACTTACACGTGTTGAGACTATTCGGAAATAGACGCCGTACGGCGAGGGAAAAAGAGAGTTTGACGAGTGGTTTGATCTTTTGTCTTCGGCCCTCGCCGGATGGTGTGATGTTGCTGTGTTCAGGGCGCTTAGAGGGTGGTGGATATGGTAACGAGTCGGCATTGCCCTTCGAGGGCTCATACGAGAGGAAATCTTTAGCATTGTCGGTGCTTACGCCCTTGAAGCAATACCAAATTGCAGAAAGTACGTATATCTTCATGGGTAAGAAGTCTTGTGCCGTGGCAGTGTCAACTAGATTGATTCAGAGAATGTCGCTTATGACAAAGTTCTAAACCCATTGTAACGTTGTTCTGTAGTAATGATATTTTCAAAGCCAAAGTCATCGCATGGCCTGCTCAATTGGGCAAGAAATCTGAACAAGCGACTCTGTCTTCCCCTTCACCCGGCTCGGCACTGTGAATACCGCCCAGGACTTCTCGTACTTGTTTGTCTAGATCAACCCTGCAATTTATGCTATTATATGATCAGAGGTTGGTGACGGGCTTGAGTTTGCACTTTACGTGGTTGATGAAAGGGCTGAGGCAAAGCTTGTAGCATTAACTTTCCTCAACTCGTGAGAATGACACCCAGCCATTATCTCGGCAACAAGATTGCAACTATTTACACGTGTATTACATCTGCCTATATCATATCCATACTCGGATTGGATGACCAATAAATGAGACCTGTGGAGTCTGTGACTTGCTTTGTGGCCATGAGTCAGCTTATCTCAGTTTGAGTCCTACTTGTGGAAGTTTCGCGGGTACATTTGAGGTTATTGAATTTGTCTCTGAGTGTCACTTTGGCCTGCGGATGAAATGTGTCCTAGGTATTTTTGAACCTAGATGATATTGAGGGATATCGTCGCGAAGTTGAAAGTAATAGACTCTGCTCACTTGTCTCGATGTTGAGTACAAGCCAGAAAATCGTTAGATTCTCAACAGTAATCTCGGCCATGGGATCAACAACACTATGCGCATGGGAAAGACTGCGTCTTTCCATCATAGTTACGGCCGTGGCTACTTTAACACGCAACCCGGAACAGACGATCGAAGCACAAGCTCTCGCTAATCGAGTCTCTGCTGTCTTTTCTAGTGCGACGTATGAGTGAGCTTACCGCTGGGAACGAAAACTCACCCCTAAGAGCATTCGATTTGTATGATACACCCCGGGCTGGCCAACAAAGACTAAAGTAGTGCCTAAACCCAAAGCTCGCCGTGGTATCTAAACGTCATTATCGCAAGGCGTCTTGGTTTTGGAAGTATCAAATGCAACCAATCTCTTCTCGAATGATTGAGCTCATATCCTGTATCCAAAGAATTCCATCATCGCAAGTATGCCTTGACTCTTTGAAACTGCTCTATCAACACGTCCCAACGGCACGTGCTTACCTTGTTCTCCTTCTCGTGATACCACGATTTTCTGCAAGCAAAGTATCAGACCCCCAATCTCCTCGCAACCTCCTCAAACCCACCTTCATCCACCTTCACCCAAACATCAACCCACCCCTTCGCATCCTCATACTTCTGACTCCCAACCTCCCAATCCTCCTCCCTCGCCCTCTCAACATAGACAGTCCTCATGCCTCTCCCCCTTGCCGCGTACAAATCACCCAAATGCGCCGCCACCATCGCAACGTCCCCCTTCTCACCACCCTTACCCAGCAACGCCTCCACGGCGCCGTCGTACACAACCGGGTTCGGCTTGTACGCCTTCCAATCCTCTCCAGACAGAATCTTCCTGAACCCCAGCCCGCCAAACGAATCCAGATCATCCAAAAGCGTCCGGTTGCCGTTCGATAAGGTCGCTGTCACGAACTTGCTCCCCAGACGTTGCAGCCCGGCCGCGGAATCAGGCCAGGGGCGCAGACGGTGCCATACCAGGCTCAAGTCGCGGATCTCGTCCTCGGACCATACACCCTCGAGGCGGTTTTCATGGAGGAGCTCGACGAGGCTGTCATGGTGGTGCGCGTCAATGTCCTTCCACGCCGTCTGGCCGGGGACGTAGCTGTGAACGAAGTTCTTGTATGAGTTTCGCCACTCCTGGGCGAACGTGGGCCAGTCTACCGCGGCAAGTTTGTCTTTCTCTGCAGGGCTCAGTGTTTCTGAAATGGCTTTGGCGGATGCGCGGGACGTGAGTTCGTCCGTGACGGAAGAGCGCCAGTCTACGACCGTCCCGAAGACGTCGAAGGTCAGGGCCTTGACGTTGCTTAGATCTTTGGACATGGTAGAATTGGCGCAGAAGAAAGGGAAAGGCGACGAAGAGTATTGTGTCGGGATATGTAGTACGATGGAAATCTGGGCCCCCTTGCCTTGATAAGTCGATGATATATCTCTTGTCATGTGAAGGGCGCAAGTGATGAGGTTATGCGGAGTCGGATCTCGTGCTGACTTATCGAATCCGCCCGGGTCCGGGCGGGGCACGACTGTGCCGGGCCGTCCGACGACCTCGGTCCCGGACGAACCGGACGAATCCGGAAAGTTGACTAATCACCGGCAGTTGTGGCCACGATTCACAGCCTTGAATCTTTGCGACCCTAACCACTGACTAAAGGCCTAGATTTCGGTTGTGTTTCTTGTCGAACGTTGGGTTTAAGGCTGGCCCATCGTCCAACACAGACGCATTCATGACTTGCGAACCGTTGTCCACGCAGATGAGGTCACGTCATCCAAAGATTCCAGAGAGATATCTGAACCACGGATGATTAGTGAACCCCACGTCCTCCGTGCAAGTTGCGACGTGAAACCAATTCAACGTTGCGGATAGTGACAAAGACGGGACAGAATCAGTACACGCACAGCATCGATCTTAGTCGCATGGAGCGAGCACACTGGGGATCAAGTTCAAAAAGTGTTCACATCACAGCATTTGCAAATGCAGTTCTTCACCCTAGACTGACATTCCTGTTATTTGTCCTAAGGTATTCCATGAAACATAACGCCAAGACCAAAACTTACGGATATTCAAGCAAAACAAGGTCAGGCTTCATGTTTCTCAGCCATGGGAAGCCCGCCCTGAACCCTCATAGCACAACGTCTTGTCATAGCTTGTCAGGACCATGCTGGTTTCCCGAACTCCCAGCATATTTGACGAAAGAATTGAGGATGGGGTGAGCAGCATATTTATGCTATGGATTGTCATCCTTCGGATAGCGATGCGATTGGAAAAGAAATGTCAACGGCTCATGACGTTCACGCCCTCTAGTCGAAAAATGCAAGACTAAAGTTGCTATTGCTTAAAAGCGACAGCACATACAACATGAGATAATAGTTCCGCAGAAATTCTCCGGCTTTCCGTTCCAAAAAATCCATTCCATCGTCACCGAAGCACGCGACATTTTACTATAGCCACGTCCAGAGGGGATTCCAGCTGCCGTAGTCCATCCGTTGAGTGCTTTGAATCGACCGACTCTTCATCACTGTCTGTCAAGACCGTGGATGTATTCTCGACCTAGTCATTTTGAGTCACAGTCTCCATAACGGGCGCACAGGGCTTTGGATGGCAGTTTTCGTCATGCCACTTTGACCTGACCACCGGTATGGTTCCAGTCGAAGCAACTGAAGTTGGGCGACGCATACAAGAATGTGAATATGAAGAAACCTCAGAGATCAGTAGAATTGCCTGTTAATTATAGCAATCTCGAAAAACTTTGGTATTTCTTCGGTACACAACGATGTCCAGCTGATAAGTGAGTTCGTCGGTTGAGTATAAATATCTCACTCTGCATGATGAACTATTGTTCTCGGACAGCCAATCCGTTCTGCGCTGTGAGCAGTCGTAGTGAAGATGATGGCCCTCATCTAATCGTTTTTCAAGAACGAGCCTCGAACGTTCCGAATACATACAACAAATCCTGCCTATCTCCGTCTGTTCTCGGCTCTTGGTTTTCCTAACGTGCTCGTCCCTGAATACGCTGCAGAAGATCACTTTTGAACGCAAGTTGAAAGAGCTCAGATGACAGGACCCCCTCATTCTTTTGCAAGGAGCTTCTAGTCATCTTGAAGATTCTGTTCATGAGGTGGGATATAGCTAAGATTTACCTGGCCAGGAAACAGTTTGTAATGCCTCACACGTGTTATATAGATTTATAGTGAGCATTAACTACACATCACCCATGAGAATGGAATCAGACAACGGGAAGAAAACATATCTCTCGTCAGCCTCAGATCTTAATTTAGAACTAAATGGTTGCGTGTGTAGGAATAGAGGGCAAGCAAATGGCAGCCAACTTCTCCATCCTCGATCAAGCATCGGCACGTTGATCGTACAGTTGATTGCTATGAACGGAGTTTTCACAGCAAATCAGCCCTTCTCATCCTCAACTTCCCTCCCGATCTTTATTGTCTCCCGAGTATTGATGACTGAATCCCTCCGAGCTCTGCATTCTCATGGGTAGTAGAACTCAGTCCGCGGCCCCAAAAGCCAGTATCCAGTTCCTAGATAGAAAACGAAAACACAACGGTGGGTATGCGAAGTTCGAAGAAAACCTTGCCATTGGCTTGTTGTGTTCCACGTAAAATGTGCAAGACGTCCCTAATATACCTTCTCAATGTAGGCGATTGCGGTGCATGAGAAGATGGGCCGGGACACGTCGTAGACTATCTCTGGAACATCCTGGTTAAGTCATTGAGAAGACGTGAAGTAGGCAACCAGCAGTTCCGCCTTCGTGCTGCAGGGAGAACAACTCGTTTCCCCTGCCCCGAGGGAATACCCGTACCGGTTTCAGACCAACATGATGGCTCTTGAGTTGTCACCCGAAGCTTAGAGGAAACTCTCTCGCTTGACCTCAACTGACCAGATGTCTTTGGATCCACGCATTCGCAAGCACATGACAGCTATTTCTTGCGCTTGGCGCAGACCAAACGTCATTGGCAACTTTTGTTTGTAATTGAATTCGCATCTCGTCTAATTTTTCAAAACACCCCGTCCTGGCCCAAAACTGCCTCGGGCATATCCATTTAGAACTTGATGCCGGCCTCGGCCATCTGGAGACCATACTATCGTGCAGTTAGCAACCACACTCTCGGTAGATACAAGAGGACCGTGGATATTGACTTACCTTCTTGAGGCGGATGGCGTTGATGGTGATGAAACCAGACTATTTGCTCTATTAGCAACCGGTATATGCATAAAGGTCTTTCGGGGCCTGCTTACGGTCTCAGAGGGGTCGAAGGTGGTGAGGGAGTCCATGGAGGCGTCCTCCTCGGAGTAGAGCTTCTCCTGGGAAGTGCGGCCGAGGACGTAGGCGTTGCCCTTGTAGAGGCGGAGGCGGACCTCACCGTTGACACGCTGCTGGGAGAAGTCGAGGGAAGCTGTAGCAAGAATGAGTTCGTTGTCGACGGACCTAGATCAGGAGAAAACTCACGCTGGAGGAAGGCACGCTCGGGCGAGAAGTACATGCCATTGTACAAGAGCTCCGCTGCGCTAAATTTAGCATGATTTTCATCAAGAAGTAGGGTTTTACTTACACCACTGCTTGCTAAGGCCGTCTCTCAATCGCCTCACTGCACCATCCAGAACACTACAGCATGTTAGTGGCGGACTCATCAAGTGGCATACCAGCCTTTCAGGATCAACTTACAGGCCCTCGATGGAGATGTGAGCAAGGCGGAGGATGGTCATCGCCGGGGAGTCGTCTGGAAGGTTTCAGCAAGCGGTAAATCTGATGAACAAGGCAGGGACTCGTACAGCAACCCCTAGACTTCAAGCCGATGAAGCTGTGATAGGGATACCAAGTTAGCTATCATGAACGTCAAAGGGCTTCACGTGCATATGTACCGGTTCTCAACGATATCCTAATATCCGTTAGCTGCATTCCATACAAAGATCGGACGAAAACTCACAATACGGCCAACACCGTGCTCCTTGCCGAGAGCGTTCAGGAGACCGAACAGCTCGACGGGGTCGGTAGCAGTCTGCTGGGGGGTAACGACCTTGACGGGAAGACCCTTGTCGAAGTGCACGGTGATGTCGAGAGGGGCGTCGGGGGCCTGGAGGGGGGAGACGGTCTTGGTCCACATGTCCTCAGGGGGAGTGACGTTGGGGTCCTCGAGCATGCCGGCCTACATCACTGTTAGTGGGTTCGCGATCGGGTCGACGGAGGTTCTACCTCGTAGGAGCAGTGGGCTGTGACGTGTTAGCATGGACCTGAAATTCGAAGACGGGGTGCGTACCGAAGTTGTCGTCCATGGAGTAAGGCTTGGCCTTAGTAGACGTAACGGGGATGCCTGGAAAGTCTCAGTACGGAACCATTATTTTGGGGTTTTGTATCGTTCATACCCCTCTCGGCGGCGTAGTCGAGCAGGTCGTTGCGGCCCTGGAAGCGGTTGTAGAAGGTGGGGTCGCGCCACGGGGCAATGACCTTGATCTCGGGGTTGATCGTGTAGAAGGCAAGCTCGAAGCGGACCTGGTCGTTGCTAAAACGGGTGTTAGACGGAGTCGCTCGTCGAGGGAGGCCTTGGGCCTCAATTCGGTGGAAGTCGATTTACATACCCCTTACCGGTCTGCCAATTGAGTTAGTATAAGCGCGTGTAATTCAAAGACGGTGAATTCACTTACGCAGCCGTGAGAAACGAACTGGCAACCCCTGGATGGTCTGTCAGTCTCATCGTCTTCGTGACACACTCTGGGCGACTGACTCCTGAACGGCAGCCCTCATCTGGCCGCGGGCGATGATGGGACGAGCCAAGCTGGTTCCTGAACACCTCTTTAGCGTTTGTCTATTGTGAAGAAGATCGCGCCGGTCATACCCAGAAGGTACTGGTCCTCATAGATGGCGTTGCACTGGACAGCCTTCCAGCAGAGCTCCCTAGACAGCGTTAGCGGTCCGTACCGCATTGAGACAGGCTTTTGGGCCACACTCACTCGACGAACTCGCGCTTGAGGTCGTCAATGATCATCTTTGGGCGCATGTTAGTGTACACCCTCCTTTACAGAAGCCAATTCAGCGTAGGGCCTCGTTGCGCATCGTCATACCTTCTCGGCACCGATCTGGAGAGCTGCGGGGTGTCAGCACAGACGTTTCCAACAAGAAGGCCACGGAACGGAGTACATACCCTTCTTCTCGACGGCAGCCCAGTCCTCCTCCTGTCCGACGTTGGCGAGGTAGCAGCTGTGAGATCGAGGTCAGCTTGAACAGCTCCTGCGGGGCGCGGGGCTTCGTGGGCTCCCAAGAGAGATGGCGGGGGCGGGACGACTCACACGACGGAGTAGTCCTGCTCCAGGAGCCATGCCAGGATGGTGGAGGTGTCGAGCTTGAGCAATCAATTAGCATTGAGTCCCGTGACGTCGATTCCCGAGTTCTCGTCGTGGTCGGGAGTTGGTGAAGAAACATACACCTCCAGAGTACCTGTTGGTTCGCTGTGTCAGTCCTGCGAATGACTCTTTTTTTTGCGCGCGGAGCGCGGGGGCGGGGTTATACGCACGCGAGGCAGACCTTGCCCTTAGAACCAGCCATGTTGACAGATGTTTGAGTTGAAAGGTGAATTGGGTTCTTGGAGAGTAACGCGGAGCAACGACGACTGCAATTGAGGCGACCGGAACGAGAAGTGAAGAGGGAGATGTTTGTGTGTGGGTTTGGTAAAACCTTGGGAAAGGGAAAAGAAACGGGATCAAAATTTCGGTCAAGCTTGCTGCGGGCGTGCCGTAGAGTCACAGCACCAATGCGCCGGGATCGGGGATTGCGATAAGATAAGGCGAGAAAAAAAAAAAGGCGCCGGCCTAAGGTGAGGTGGGCTGTTGGAGGGGTAAGTTTTGCTGCAGCGCACAGCAAACGCAGCCTCAACCCTACGTACGTACCTACTACTTACATGGAGTGACTGCATTCGAGCTTGCCTTACCGCGTTTGCACTTTGCATGAGAGCAACCAATCCCGTCCCTTCAATTGCAATCTTCTCCCACCTCGCCATTCAAATCTCCCCCAACAATAACATCAACTCGGAGCGGTCAGCAGCTGTCCGTCCATTGCAAGTCTGCAGCGATTCAGGTCAACCAAAAGCGTCATGCCTCCAGCGAGGAATATCCCGGCGAAACCCGACCCACCACCGGGACGGCCAGAGCGATAAGCACACCAAAGCCCATCCAATGACACAGGAACCTTGGGAAGATGAGGAGGAGGGGGGGCCTGAGGGGCAGCACCTCAGCTGGAGCACGCGCCTTCAGAGTGACACACGGGAGTGACAGCACCGTGGGGAAGAAGCGCTGTAGCACTCACAACGCACAACCTACCTCCCCTTCCGGTACCTTGCGTCAGACGTCATACAGCCTCGGAAGGCGGAATGGCTTGGGGAGCGGCAATGCGTACCTTGCAGTCTGGGGTAAACGTCCCTTTTTTTTCTCTATTCCAGAGGAGGAAGGCCGTTACTGTGCGTACTGGCGCGTGTGTGTGCCGCATACGAGAGGAAGACAGCCCAACACGCAAAATCGGCGACAGGGATCCCTATCTCCGTCCTCCCAAAAACGCGGGGCAGTTTTCTATCGCGGGGTTCTTCGGGGACTAAGGACGTCTCGGCTCCGGCCTCCTTGGGGTTTTCATGACTTCATTCGGCTTCTCTTCCGGGCGACTTGTGTCAGCAACAAGCCGGCTGTCTACGTTCTTCATTCTGTTCTCATTGTGTAGCTTCTGATTTTGATTTCTGCATCTAGCTCAAAACATCATCAGCGTCTTATCATCAACCCCGCCAAACAACGGTATCTACACACGCCCGCGCCCGGATACTCACTTCACACCCGTTCATCCCACCCTTCACAAAACCATGTCCTCCAAACTATCCGACGCCTTCTCCAACGCACCCCTCTCAACCCACGGGCCCAAGTGGTCCGCCTTCTGGGAAGAAAAGTTCACCCCCTGGGACCGCGGCGGCCCTTCCCTCGCCCTGCAGGACGTCCTCACCACCCGCCCAGACCTCGTCCCTCCCCCGCCGCCAGGCGCCCCAAGCAAGCCGACCGCCTTGGTCCCGGGCTGCGGCAAGGGCCACGACGCCCTGCTCCTCGCGAGCCTCGGCTACGACGTCCTCGGCCTCGACTTCTCCGCCACCGCCATATCCCAGGCGATCGAGAACGATAAGGCCGGGACTTCCGATGCCAGCTCGGCCCGCCAACCGAACGGCGTCGGCCCCGGCACCGTGACTTGGCTGTCGGGCGATTTCTTCTCGGACGCGTGGCTGGAGGAATGGGGCCGCGAGAAGACGTTTGATCTGGTCTTTGATTACACTGTGAGCTTCTGCCGTCCGCCAACCAACTCACTCAGCCTACACTCTGTCTCCCCAACACCATGAAAACACTCCATCTAATGTGAATGAAAAGTTCCTCTGTGCCCTGCCCCCCTCGGCCCGTCCCCTCTGGGCAACCCGCATGACCTCCCTCCTATCACCCCACGGCCGCCTGGTCTGCCTCGAGTTCCCCTCCGGCAAGCCCCTCTCCGCTCCGGGCCCGCCATGGGGCCTCACCCCGGAAATCTACCTCGCCCTCCTCGCCCGCCCAGGCGATGCTCTGGAGTTCTCCTCCTCCACGGAGAAAGGCGACCCGACAGACACCGTGATCGTGCCCCCATTCGACGCGGCAAACGGCCTCAGACGCCTCGAGCTCATCAAACCGCCCCGGACGCACCAGGCAGGCATGAACGAGGACGGCACAGTCCGCGACTGGATCCACGTCTGGAGCCGCTGAGCAAAGGGGGAGGATGACCGTAGACACAACCACATCTAATACATTAAAAGAGCCATCCACACACATGAACATTTTTCCGTCCTATGCCGTCGTCGTCGCCGTAGCTGTAGCTTTCCTCAAAGAGTTGTAATGCTCGCCCAGCCCGTACCCATGTCGGTAGTACGCCAACCAAATCTCCTCCCCCGCCGCGCCGCCCTCCCCGATCCTCTCCGTCCGCCCGTCCTGCACAACCCGAATCTCGACCCCGTACACCCCCGCCAGCGCCACCAGCTCCAGCTGCCCGCCCCACTCCGCCGTGTCCCGGATCTTCCTCACGTACCCCTCCAGCCCCTCTTCCAGGAACGGCGCAAAGTCGTCCGGGTGCGCCTCCATCCACTCCGCCGCGCGCCGCCTGACAATCTTGTACGGAAGCCCCGGCTTGCTCTCCCCTTCACCAGCTAGCGGGATACCCTTCTGCTGCAGCTGGTCCGCCACCGCGGAGAAGAGACAGTGCCCGTCCGGCGCGATCTCCTTCTCGGACAGCGAGTGCGCCTTGAACTCGTTCAGCATGTACGTCTTCTCGATGCCGCGGTGGTCCGTCATGTTCGCGGCCTCCTCCTCCGCCTTGACGGCTGCGGCCTCGACCTCCGCCGCGCGGCGCGCCAACCGCTCCTTTTGGCGGTTGCGCTTCTTCCCCCCACCACCACCTCCTCCTGCTCCTTGTGTCTCTTCTGTCGTCGCTGTCGTCTTCTCGGGCTTGGAAATCGTCGTCTGCGCAAGCTTCTCCGCAATCTCGTCATCATCGGCGGCATCCTTCTCGTCTTCCGAACCTTCGGGCTCGGGGGCTCCGCCGTCGCCGGAGAGCGCGGCAAGTTCCTCGGTCTGCTTCTCCTTCAGCCGGCGCTCCATGTCGGCGCACTCGTCGTTGACGCCCTTGCGCGTCTTCTTGGTCGCGTTCTTCTTCTTGGAGGTGATGCGCCCGACGAGGTCGCGCTGCTCCTTGCGGTGGCGGGTTTGCATCTGCTCGAGGGTCTCGGCGGGCTCCATGGTGGCGGTGGGATGTGCCGTCGTATGGCGGGGTACGCTCGCAAGACAGATTGCGCAGTCGGACGGGCGTTCGTGGGTTGTAGCCTCTAAATATATCAACGAAGGGTGGTTGAAGATTGATCGTGGGGAGCTTCTGGCGGCTTGAGAAGATGTGAACGACTGTGGATGACCGATGTAGAGGCTGGTTGTGACGAAGCCGGCGAGTGGGCGGTCGGAGCTTGGGCTGGGCGACGGAGGGGTGAAATTTCTTGGTGGGGTCGGTGCGGGGTCCCACACCATCACCGTCAGAGGTCCCTGTGTAAGACACCAACTCCTGAGGTACGGTAATGCCAGTCTTTCTTCATGTTTAATGTCACACGGAACCTAACAAGACTAAATTATTTCACGGTATTCAATTGTTTAGCAAGAATCGTCCACAAGGGACCTATATACACTAGCAAAGTTCCAGCGCCGAATCCCTCCTTGGGACGGGATCGGCTACATCTTACACCTTCTCTCCTCCTCCCGCCAGGCATCCTCCATCACGATGCCCATCCATCCATGTTTTGGACCAGAAACACGGCAAATGTCTTCCCTGACATAGGATATACCAGGCAGCAGCGGCCATCCTGCCGTTGCCCCTTTCCCCAACTCCAAACACAGAAGGCGACCCTCACGTCTCCCTTCTTTTTTTTGTGTATCCCCCCTCCTTTCGCCCGCCCTACGTTATACACGAAGAAATAGTACATAATGGGTATCGGTAATCGAAATGAATGGCAACCCCGAGCGCTCCAGCTGAAAACCTTTCGCTACGAGACGAGTGTAAAAGAAAATGGCTAGAAAAAAATCCTTCGAGAGCTTTAGAACCCCTTGAACGGGTCGTCTCTGAAGAAGTCATCTTCTGTGCCCATGCGGCTGTAGTAGCCGTCGGTGGTGCGGGTGCCGCGCGAGCTGTAGCTGTCGCGGTGACGGCTGCGGCTCTGGCGGCGGCGGAGCTCCTTGCTTCGCCTGCGCGCTCGGTACCTGTACTCCTCGTGCTCGTCGGGGTCGCCGTCGAAGCGGGAGTAGGCTAGCGGGCTGATGAAGGCCTCCATTCGAACCGTGCCGATGGCATCGAAGAAGTTGGCACCCGGGCGGGACGAGGCCTCTGATGTGCGCTGGGAGCCGGCGGTGCTCATGGGCCAGCTCGGTGCCCCGCCGGTGGAGGGTTGGGACTGGTGAGACTGATAGATGTCTGATGAGCCGGCCGTGCCCACGCTGTTGCCGGCGTTGCTGTTGGTGTAGCTGTGCTGTCCGATGCTGCCAGGTCCGGAGAAGCCGCGGAAAGATAGCGGTGGCGGGACGTGGCCGCCAGTGTTGCTGCGCTTGCGCCCATGAACACCTGCTGGGTTTCCACGCTCTCCACGCTCAGTGAAGCGAGGGATGAAGGGCGGTTCCGCCGCATCAATTGACCGCTCTGACCGCTCGCGCTGATGGGTATTGGTATTGGTATTGGTGTTTTTACTGTTGATGTTCGGCATAGGGGCGTATTGCTCTTGCTGCCTGTAGCTGCCGCTGTCGCCAACACGAGACGAGGGAATACTGGGAACGCTAGGCACGCTGGGGATACTGGGGACACTTGGTACGCTCGGTGCTGCGTCTCTGATAACCGGGGCCTTGCTCTTTGTCAGTCGGATCGAATCACGGATGCCAGTTCGCCTGTTGGGTTGAGGCATTTCAAAGTCCGGTACCGTAGTCTCCTTCACGGGTTGAGGGGAAGGTGTGATTTCGGGAAGGGCCTGAGTCGAATGGGCGAGGAAGGACAGCGCAGTCAACCAAACGTAGTGTCGCTCCGAGGTCGTGGCTGTAAACTTCAATGCTCTCTGCGGCGTCAAAATCAGGATGGATCGGTTGAAAACATTGCCCTGGCCGCGGGGCGGGGGGTTGTCGTCCTTGACATCTAACACAGATTGGATTGTGACTGGGTTCAAATTAGCATGTATAGAGCATCAAGAGTAGAAGTACTTACGTTTGCGTCCTGGCTTGCCCAGGAGAGCGTTGCCAGAATTGGGCTGCTTGCTGCTCCAGAGGATGGCCCTCTCATAGGGGGCCAACCAGACCCATCTCTTGTGGCGGTCGTTGCTGGAATCGTCCTTGCCGCCATCAGAGACACCGAAAGACTTGCGTCTCCTGACGTACTTGAACATCCACTCGCCGACCATCGTCTGCGCGATGGCATCGACAACGCCGGTAGCCTGGGCCGTGCCATTGGTGCCGTTAGAGGCAGCACCGCTGGATGCGGCGTTGGAAGTGGCGCCGTTGGACACCGCGCTTTGCGAGACACCACCGACGGAAGCGAGGTCGGTGGTAGCAGTCTGGGCTGTGTTCGTAGACAGGCGAGACCTGTGCGACCTGTAGTTGGAGCTCGTGTCGTATCTGGGGCTAGTGATGTCGTTGTACGGAAGAGGAGGGAGGCCTGGGCTTTCCGGGGTCTCCGCGTGCTGGGGGATCGGCGGCGGCGATCGACTGCCGTGCCTTCTGTTTCTCTGCGTCCTAGGCAGAGCGGCGGCGGAGCGAGTCTTGCGAATGCTGTTGGCACGGTAGTGGCTGCGGCCAACGCCCCGGCGGTGCCAGGGAGCGTCCATCTTCGTCGGGCTTCGCTGACCATCACTCGGCGCGCTGGCACTGAAAGGTGGCCTCCTGGAGCTGGCTCGTGTGGGAATAGGGAATGGAGGCTGAGCCTCAGGAATACTAGGGCTTCTAGGACGGCCCTGATGACTCGAGATGCCGCTCTGGATCAAAGCGGCCTTGCGCATACCGTTGGGTCGGCTTGAAGGACCACCGTTAGATCTGTCGTATCCGCCCCGCGCTGAAGACTTCATGGGCGCCTTCTTTGAGCCCATCTCCTTATTCTCCTGGCCGAATCCATAGCTCTCAGGGCCCATAGAACGCACCGCGCCTCTGGCAATCGCAGACTTCTTCAGAGCTTGCTCTGGCGACGCCGGCGAGGCAGCAAATGTGCTCACTGACGTGCGGTTGGAAGCTCTGGAATCCGTCATCCTCATGCCAGGGGCAGTCAGGACGGTGCGGTACTCAGAATCGCTGACATCCGCGTCGGCAAACTCATCCTGCTCGTCAGAGCTGTGCTCATCAAAACCGGCGAAAAGGCTGCTGATACGGTGCGGACGTCGCATGGGTGCCTTGTGTCCAGACAGAGGTCCATCATCATTGTTGCCGGGGTAGGCATCCTTGGTGTCCATGTCATACATGGGCGACATGGGCGAAGTTGGCGGAGAGGAGGGCATATCCGTCAGACTGCGCTTGGTCGCCAGTCTTCTGGGGTTCCTCGGGGGAAGGTGGTTTGGTACAGGGGTAAAGTGGCGAGGATCATCCGTAGTGATGGCAGTAGCAATGTTGGGAGATGATGGCCTGGAGGAGATTGCGGAAGGTCGCAGGTGCGCGGGGAGGTTGGCCAAGCGCTTATCGACGAGGATCTCTTCGGTCTGCACAGCAGTTGACTTCATAGGTGCTGACGCAATGATAGACACCTGGCAGCCGAAATCCTTGGTGTACTGCGGCAATCGAGGCTCCCTAGGCGTAGTAGGACGGCTCGTGGGCGGGATGATGCTGATGCTGGGGATGAGCAACTCCTGGACAGGCTTCAGCTCCGGCAGGGGCTGCGGCTTCTCTTCAGGCTCGGGCTCGGGGAAGTCGGTCTGGGTGGAAGATGATGCCATAGCTGGGGCGGGGATTTCAGGAGGAGGGGGTGTCGTAGACCTGTAAGGCGACTTGGGCGTCTTGGGTGGGCTCAGGGGCTCTTCGACAGTCTGAGATCCGGCCGAGACCATGTGGTTGTAGGGACGAGGCTCGATGGACAAGGGACGGTTGATCTGTACACGCTTGCGTCGCTGGTTTGCTTCGATCGCCTCAATTTCCGACTCACGGTGGACGTACTCGACCTCAGCAGGCTTCTCAGGCTTGACGGGCTCATCGAGCTTAGTAAGTTCTTCCATCTT